AATGAGCTATAGAAGAAATTCAAGGACTTGTATGTAAGTTTTTCAGATTAAGGTATGGTTGATTCAGTCCAGTAAAAGCTGATTAAATATCCTGGTTTTTCTTGGAGTGATTGCACAGTTGCTGGACATTTTTCACTCACCAGTAGCCATTGGGACATTTGAGTGCCCTCTGCTGCCGTGTGTCACTGCATGCAGGTATGAAAGTTGGAGCTTACCCAATCCTTCAGTTCCCTCTTACTGCCTGTGTTAAAACCCATAAATGCTCATGAACTAATAAATGTTACTCTCTAAGGTGCAACAGGACTCCTCATAGTTTTTAACCATTAAAACTACACGGTTACCAGCCCTCTGAGATAAAATATTTGGGTGAGTTTTGCGTTAGGGATCAGAGCAGGAAGGAAATGTTCAAAAGGATCCTGTGAGCAATTGACAGAGGAGCTCTGCCTCAGCTCATGCTCTTTTTAAACTTATCCTTCTCAGATGAAGCTGCTTGGGAGTATCCTCACCCATGCTTCATGACTACAGGGCTTCTGAAGAGCTCTTAGAAATGATGGTCTCATCCTTGGACATTCAAGTAGAGGAGGTTAGGAAGTCTTCTCACCAACTCATTGGCAGTCAATCAATGAGGTGATTTTGGAACCCATCAAGGCTCTGTCTGGGGCAAATCCCCACTCACCTATTGTGTTCTCCCAAGGCTTTGAGCATTTTCATTCCCACCCGACTCTGGGGTCGCTCATTATCTCAGCTGCCAGTGAGCGGGAACTCTACCCCTAAGTTAACAGATGCCAAAAAGCTGGCTAGAAAAATTTGTTATACCACAGCCTGCATCACCAACCAACAGGCCTTATTAGGGTGATATCTATGACTTTAACATCTGGGCTGATAATCTGAAACCTAAGGAAAGCTGCCTGAGGATACTAAAAAGCAGCTCCTCTTGCTGCTGACTGAAGGACAGTTTGTGGCGAGAACAGTGCTTCTGGACAGTTTGGCTGTGGCCGATTTGGCCCAAGAATCATGGACTCTGCCATCATCACACATAGATGCTCACAGCTTCAGTCTTCAGGATTGTTCCAAGAAGATCCGAAGACTAAAACCTGCTTTTGATGGGTAATCCTTCTTTTCAGATCAGACAGAGGAGAAACTTAACAGCTGCTTTAAAGGACTCCATGCAACTCAAGAGTAATTGGGTATAATACTTTTGACCCTTTTAGAAAGCACTTTTGTCCTAAGCAGTCCCACAGATACCCTATTCTT